GTACTTCCACAAACATTCCATTCGCTGGTCTCCTGAGTTCAGATTCGGTTGGCAGCCCTGGCTCCCCGGAGGCCCTGCCTGTGCCTGTGTCCCAGGGCTCCACCCTCGACCCTAATCCTCCCCGAGGGCAGAGGACTGAGTGGGCAGAATCCCTGCCCGGCCCTTTCCTCTCCTGCTGGACACAGCACCGAGTCCTGCTGGGCCCGATGGCCTGCCCAGGCTACTTCCTGCAGGGTGAGTGGGGTGGCCAGGCAGGGATTGGCAGGAGCAGCCCCCAGACCTCTCAGCACTTGGCTAAGCAGGGCTATGTCATGTCGGGCAGGACTAAGGGAGGTGGGGGCAGCTCCGTCATCCTTGCGCCCTCACCGCCTTCTTCAGTCGTGGGGGTCCATCCCCTTTCCCACAGCCCAGCTGTGTGCTTCTGCTGGCCTGCAGGGAAAGGGGCTGCCCCCTTCGTCTGTTTTTGGTCCAGGGGCAGGGGCAGCACTGCCTGTCTTTCCTGACTTTGATGATTCTCCAAGGAATGTTATGGCCTCTGGCTTGGAGCCCCCTCTAGGCTCCTGCCCGGGTGTGGCAGCAGCGGTTCTCGTGCGGGGGGTGGGGTGGTGTGTGGTGAGGAGGCATATTTGGTATCTAGTGTAACAGGGCTGCCTGCTGGTTAAAGGATGGGGTGGGATAGGGATGGTGTCAGGGACCCCTCGGGGCTGTGTGTTCCCCTGTGTCTCCAGACCCCAGGGAACCCCTCCTTCCCTCCCTCCCACCTTGGCACAAGGGAGGTGAGCACTGCTCCCTGCATGTCTGGAATTCCTGCTGGAGCCCCGGGCCCTCCCTGAGTGTACACGCATCCTGTTTGCCAGATCCACCTTCCTCCAGGCCCACCAAGTGTGTGCACAGGTGCATACACACCCAACACACACACCATACACATCTACACACACACACCCACATAGGCCCCTGCCCCCCACACCACACACACATACCATACACACCCACACCACATGCCTGCACACACCCCACACCACACACACCCTGGGTCCAGAGTAACCACTCCTTACACACCCTGCGCTCTTCAAGTGACCCCTCTCTGCACCGAGCACCCAGGCCTGCTCTGGCCTCTCCCAGCCCCTCCATCCACACACAGCTCACCCAGAGACTCAGTGGCCCTACCTACAGAAAGGTGGCACTGGGGGTCTTGAAGGTAGATTTATTCCCCAGGACCCTCCCCTCCCCCCATGACATGAGGCAGTTTCCCGCACAGCCTGACCATGCAGACCAGCCTGCTCACACCCCAGATCACACCCCCTCATGCCACACAGGCCACCAGGCAGCTCTGGGGGCTTGCCGCCCCAACTTCTAGCCCTCCCCAGGACCGGATGAACAGGGGCTCTGCTCCAGGAAAGGTGACTGGAGCCCAACTGTCAACCTGGCCTGCAAGGGACCCCGCTGAATGGCAGGGACTGAGGTACATTAGGCCTGACACTCACCTCTCCAGAGCCCTGCCTCAGTTGCCCTCATCATCATCATTTATCAAGGGTCCCCAGTGGGTGCCCAGGTGCTGACTGTAGCTCATGTACAGCACACCCCTGCCCTTTGGAGTGAGATCCCAGGGCAGCCCAGTTTACCAACCTGGCAACCCCCTCCTCCACTTCCCCAGCCCCCATTCCCTGTCTCCGTTCAGGGCACACTCACTGCCATTCTGTGGGGACCCGTCCTCCACCCAGTCAGGGTAGCTGACCCAGGCCAGTACCAGGGTCAAGGTAGAGGTCCTAGGGCTGATAAGAAAGAACCCATGGGAAACAGGCGGCCTGTGCACCTGCTCTGAGCAGGTGGGAACTCAGTCAAGGAAGTGGGGGAGAGAGTTGGATGGGCAGGGCCTGTACATCGTGGGTGGCTGGTGAAGCCCCAAGCCCTTCTGGCATCGCAGCTGTGCCTCGAGCTCTGTGGGCCTCACCCTGACACCCCGGTCTCCACTCCCCCACTCAGTTGAGGGGCATGTGCCATGGGGAAGAGAGGCCTCCTGCAGGGTCTAGAGCTCATTCTATGGGCTCCTCCATGGCTGTGGGGTTGGGGCAGTGTGATCCGGGGCCAGTGCCAGCCGGGCACAGAGACTGCTATGCCACTGCTACTCCCATACTCCCCACCGGCCTCTGGGGGCCAGGAGCAGGCCTCCGCCCCCCCCACACACACACACACACAGGAACCTGTCCCGGGGGAGGGAGACCCTGGCCAGAGCTCTGGCTGCCTCTCTGGAGGGTCTGTTTATGGAAGATTCTAGAGAAAGCAGGCCCTCGGTGACAGTGACTCACCTCTGTTTCCAGCCTTAGTCACTCGCTACCCCCTTCCTCCCCATCCCAGGCTTGACCATTCAGGGCACATGTGATCTGGGCTATAGAATTTATCCTGGTTGTCATGGCAGTAAGGGGTCCCCCTTCTCACAGCTGGATGGGGGCCGGCTCAGTCATGGTGACACTGCCTGCCTACCCCACCCCACCCCTAGTTTTCAGGGTGTGAGATTTCAGAGGCTGCTCCCACGGCAGTGGGGCTGAGGCCTGGTGCGCTTCTTGGCGTGGGCATGGCCCCACACCCAGCTCTTTGTAAAGAGTTTTACTTCCTTCCCCTCCTGTCTCCAGGGGTCCTGAGAGGCCACTGACCTCCCCCGAAATCCTCAGACCCTGAGACCCGCCCCCCCATAGCCAGCAGGCTCACAGGCTGCCCCCGGGGACCTGCCTAAAGGTGGCAGGTCGCTCCTCCAGCCCCTGAGACCTTGGTTCCCAAACCATGGTCACCTTTCAAGTCACAGGGTCCCAAAGCCAAACTCCCTGTCATCAAGACAGGTCTGGCTCAGAGCAGCCTGGGGGGCTTTGGCAGCGATCAATCTTTACAGGAGCAGAAAGGCCTTGGAGCAGAGCAGGGTTCCAACTGCTGACCTTGCCACAGGGTGACAGCCCAATGGGGAACCCAGGTTCCTGAAGTGGCAGGGTACCACCTTCCACCACCAGGGCTCCTTAAGCCATAGGATAACGGAAACAGAACTCCATGCTGGTGCATAGCGACCCTACAGTCAGTCATCCACGGGGAGGTTCCTGAAAATACCTGCTGGGGAGAAATCTCACCATGGGGTTCGCAGCTGCGGCACCCTGGTGATCCCAATGCTCAGTCCGGACTGAGAGACCCTGGCCAAGACCCAAGCAGAGCTCAGGACAGGCCTCCTCCTCTTTCCATAAACATTCACTGGGACCATTGAAAAGGTACTCTGAGGGGTTGGGTGTCTGGTCTGGGGGGTGGGGTGGGGACAGAACTGCCGGACCCTTGAGGACAAATCAGGAAGGCTTTTCCGGAGGAGGTAATCTTTTGTGTGGGGCCTTAGAGAGCTTGGATGAGAGGACAAGGTGGGAGGGTGGGGGAGAAATCCTACAGTAGAGTGCAGGGGGGGTGGGACGGGGAGGTAGGGAGGGGCTGGGCCATGAGGCTGCAGTTCACTTGGCCCCCGTGCTGTGTGGCATTTTTTCCCCCTCAAGACAAAGCGACAGTGGCCAACATCGAAAACTCTGGAGAGTTCATGTACAGATAGATCCCAGTTCCCTGGAAACGCTGGCCCCTCCTTCTACAGGGTGTGGGTTCCCAGTCATTGTCCCCGGACCCCAGGGAGATTTAGAGGAGGGTGAGTGTGTCTCAGTCCCCACAGTAGGAGGTGGGAGAGGAAGGCCGGCGCAGGTGTTGGCCCACAACTCCCTGAATCAGACTGTGGGGTTTTGGATTTTACAGCAGGTTTCTGTCTTACCAGTGGAGCCTGTCATGGACCAGTGCCACCAAGGTCACGCAATGGGGAAGTGATAGGTTGGTGGGGCTTGACTCCCCAGGAGAAGAGCAGTCAGTGTAGTAGCCGAGGGCCAAGGCCACAGAGCCCGATCTCAGGGTTTGAGGCCTGCTCTTGCCACGCCCTGGCTGTGGACCTGGGCCAGGTCATCTGCCTGTGTTCTGGCACCGTGTGGGTCTGTGAGCATTTGCTCTCATGACGGCAGGGACACTGCCTGGAAAGGGTATGTGGGCTGGCGGGGAGGGGTGTGTGTGTGTGGTGGTGTGTGTGTGTGTGTGTGTGTGTGTGTGTACAAATGTGACCCAGGCTCTGCCAAGGGAAAAACCAGATGTCACAGGAGACCATCATTTTAGCAGAGCCCCCCACCCCACCCCACCCCCATCCCCGCCAGGGTCACCCGGAGAGATCAGTCGAACGGTGGCCAAGGCAGGCTGGCCCTCTAGAGTCTCCTGTAATCTTGGAGCCAGGGTTGCCTCTGCTGTTCTCCTTTATGTGGGAAAGAAAAGGAAGGAGCTTGAGTTGCAGCAAGGGAGATCTAGGTTAGATAATGAGAGGGACTTCCTGCTGGCCAGGGTCACCTATCAAGACACAGGGCTGACAGTGAGGCAGCAGCCAGCCTTCGGCCTTCAACAAGACCTCGCTGTGCTGGGGGGATCGGGCATGTGGCCTTGAGGGCGGGAGGGAGGTAGCACAAAGGGTGAGCTTGATTGGGGTTTGCGGTCCAGGCTCTTCCTGAAGGGTTTGTGTACTCCATGGGATCCCCAAAACACTCCCAGCAAACTCAGTGCCATGAGTGGATGCTAACTCACAGGATAGATCTGCCTCCATGGGTTTCCGAGACCCGTACCTTTACGGAAGTAGAAAGCCCTGTCTCCCACTGAGCAGCTGGTGGTTTCCAACAGCTGGCCTTCCCAGATGGCAGCCCAGGGCTCCTCGGGGGCCTCCAGAGATGGCTAAGTAGCAGGGAAGGAGGCAGGGCCTGTTACTGGCACCCTCCCCCAGAGAGTCTGGGGGAGGCACACGAGGCTAGGTGCAAATCCAAACCCAGTTCTTGGGGGCGTGTTCCCATAAGGAGGAGCGGATGAGGGCCAGGGGTGGATTTGGTGGGAAGGGGCCTAGGCCGGGGCTCAGAGAAGCTCCCAGAGGAAAGGGATGGGGCCTGGAGACCCCTCCCGCACTGCAGGCCTGTCGGAGGACGAGGATGTGCACGCCATGCTGCAGGGCTCGCGGCTGCTGAAGATCCGCTCGCGGAAGTGGCACAAGGAGCGGCTGTACCGGCTGCAGGAGGACGGGCTGAGCGTGTGGTTCCAGCGGCGCTTCCGCCACTCGCCCTCGCAGCACATCTGTGAGCTGGGGCCGGGCGGGCGCCGGGAGGGGACGGCGCCTGCGGCCCCGCTCTGACCGGCCCGCGGCCCCGTCCCGTCCCGTCCTCCCCAGTCTTGGTGCAACACATCGAGGCCGTCCGGGAGGGCCACCAGTCGGAGGGTCTGCGGCGCTACGGTGGCGCCTTCGCGCCCGCCTGC